CAGCTGTTAGGTGGAGCTGACATGTTAGTAGCAAGAGGCACAAGACGGACCCAAACCTATTGTGACTGTCAGTTATCATTCTCATGATAGCCATGGGGAGAGCCAGCCACCACCAATGCAGACCTGGGCGCTGGCTTGTGCTGTTGACAAACTACGCAATACGCCACGCTTCATTCCTGTGCAATTGTGTGCAACACACTCGCAGTGGTCGAATTCCATTTGAATATTACCAAGGCCGAAAACCCAACCTATGCCACCTTGGAATTTTTGGCTGCCTCATTGTCACACTCAACAATGAGTACACAGAACCTGCAAACTCATGCAAGACCAAGTTCTCTCCTCAGGCCTCACTTGGACTCTTCTTGGGTTTCGACACAGACAGCGAGTCTATTGCCCTCAGCTACAACTTTGCTGGACAGACCGATCTTCAGACACGCCACTATAACTTGCATGAGGAGGGTTTTTTTGGAGGATGACAGTCATGAAGACAGTCATCATACCAAATTCCTTGCTTGCATATTGTTCAAATATTCACTCAGAAGTATGATTGTACAGTTTTGGTGAGTCGCAATATTCAGTTTAAAATGTATTCAAGAGGCCCCTTACATTCTTTGTGCTGGAAGGGCAATTTGAACAAAATTATCTGGCCTTGAGCTGGTGAGTTCCTGTATCAACTGTGTTGTGAAAGTCTGCTGATCATGTTTCATGTTGTCACAGCGCACTGAAGGACAACACAACTTTCACATCCCAAGATGAAGTGATGCATTTGAAGAGTGGGTTTGAGATTTTAATTATTTTTGTTCTTCTTTTTTTTAACAGAAGACATCTTGATTGCTTCAGGAAGCAAAACTGTTGCACCTGCTTGGGAGAGAGGCCCTTACAGGGGATGAAGGGGAAGGGCGTACTGGCTGGTTGCGAATGGCCACTGCATTGTTTTGGGGCATACCATAACTGCAAGGTCCAGAAATCTGGGCCATGGGAAGCAAAAATAATTGCCAGGTGTCGAATTGTGCATTATTGGCTGTGGATTCCTGTGGCAGCTGTTTGGACCAGGGCCACAGTTTCTCTTACCTGGACAACCCTGGCTCATACTTCACCATGGCTTTAGGAAAGCCCAATCTGCTGGCTGGCCATCTCCAGTGGACAGCCATGGCCATTGGACAGCTGTGGCAAGTTGGCAACAGGATGCCCAGCCACTTTGGACAGCCAGCCACTTTGGCTTGCCAAAGTCCACAGTTCCTCCCCAATTAGTGCCACAATTTCTGATGTGACTGCCTTGTGGAGGAGACATACACTGAGAGACGGTTGTGCATGGATCACTTTGTGTGGGCACAGTTAGGGTGTTTTTCTTCCCACCTCAGGCTGGCCAGCAGTGGTTGAGCAGGACAGCGCTGCGTTGAGCTTTGCCACACTGTGTGTGACTGTGTGTGTGTATGTGTGCAAACGTGTGTGCGTGCATGCATAGGTCTTTATCTGTGTGTGCAAGTGTGTTTGTCTGGACAAGCATTGCTCACACGCCCTAGCCTTGGCCCACTGCAACAGATTGGCCAGCACATCAATCAAAGCTGCTTGAGTTTGAGTTGGGCTAGTCAAACAGTGAATTAGGGAGCCTTCTGCTCAGCTGACAGAGCGTATCCCTGCGTAGGAGGTCACACAGCCCTTGCAAGGATAAGGTCGTTCGGTCTGATTCCAGCAGAGGGCAGAGATTGGCTTTGTTGACATTTTAGCTATCAATCACACAATGATTGCAACAGCCGGGAATCGGACCCGGGTCTACCGCGTGGCAGGCGATAATTCTACCACTGAACCACTGTTGCTCGTTCTAATTGGGAATTATTTGTTTCCTCCTAACCTTTCGAAACAAAACCTTCATCTTGCCCTCAACACTTTGAGGCTTATCATGCTTCTCCTGAGCTGCTGTGGGTCCCCCTTTCACACTGCAGGCTGGCTGGGGTGGCTGTGATAGCGTTTCTAGCTCTGACTGTTTCATTTGGACTTCTAGGACCAGAAGCTTGCTGCAAAATGGTTTGAGGCTTCGAGGCCAGAGCGGCCAAGACCACCTCCAAGTGCTCATGCAGTGTCAAAAGCAGTAGAAGTGTCAATAGCACTGGGACCAGTGCAAATGTCATTCATTTTTCCTCAGGGTTACTCACAACATAACAGTGCTGGTCTGAACAGATGTCCAGATGATAGTTGGTCCTCCAAAAAGAACATTGTAGCTGAGCTGTGATTTTCCATCTGAGTGGACGCTGTGGGCAGTGTCAGTGTAGCCAGCAACATTGAGAATTCTCATATGCTGCTCTCTGTGATCTTTGCTGAAAGCGCTGAGATACCAAAACTGCTGGAGCGAGATCCCCAGTCGCGTGTGTGTTGCCAGGTAGTTGGTGCTGCCGAGAATTGCCTGATATAGTTTCTGATCTGCAGCTGCTTAACAAACCCCTAGATTGCAATCAAAGCAAAGGCTCCAAGAAAGGGCATGAGATAAGCAAGCAGCACACACCAAGCCAAGGGCGTGTGGCAAAATGGTTACCGCGCTTGACTACGAATCAAGAGATTCCAGGTTCGACCCCTGGCACGCTCGCTCCAACACCCAGCCTTGATGGCGGACAAGGGGCCTTAAAAAAAAGGAATCTGGGCTGTGAGGAGGTGAGTGTCCGCCGTGTTTGAAATGAATGTGTTAGCAGAGAGTTGAGGACATGGGACCTAATGCAAGGTGACAGCTGATATTGTTAGGAGTGTGACAGAGGTGACAGTGGCAACAACAAGAGTGTCAAAACTGGACTGTCAGCGGTTGAATTTTTTTTTCTTATTGAAAAAGCTACAAAGTGGCAAGATCTTGTAAAGAATGTGCAGCGACCAGTTGAACCAAGTACAAGCATACAGGGGTAAACAAACAAGCTAACAATTTCCTGGTTCCTTTGACCCTGGGACAATCTGCCCGATTTAGCAACGTCAAGTCTGCAGTTTCAGGATTGGTGCTTGAGACAAAGGGGCCAGATTATGCCCACAACACAAGCGGCTTTGGTCTAGGGGTATGATTCCTTCTTAGGGTGGAGGAGGTCCCGGGTTCAAGTCCCGGAAGCCCCCTGAATCGTTGCTTCAAGTTACAGCTTGATCAGCGCACCAACTTGCGCCATTGCCGTGTGGTGTTGGAGAGCCTCATGGTTGTTTTGGCCTGCAAATGCTGTGGAAGCCTGGCACAAGCTCCTTGACCACTGGTGGAAGTTGGATGTGGAACCTTTGGGCAAAATTGTGTCAGGATGGGGTGGGATGGGAAGGATGTACAATTGTAAGCCAATCTTCCAGTCACTGGCAAAACTTGTGTCTTGCACAGCAAGCCGTTTTTGATGCACCTGTTTGGTTTGGGTCTGTTGGCGTAGGTAGTGTACAGGAAGTTTAACCTGACACTGTGGGGCAAATGGGCACCTTGTGCATGGGAGATTGAGTTTTGGTCCTTGTAGCAGTTTTGTATAGCAACAAACACAAGGCAGACAGAAATCAGCCTCAACCTCACCACTGCACGTTCAGTATTGTACTTCATCCATCCCCACAGTGGCCAATCAGGCCAAAACCTGAACAGCGCTCTTGTGCATAGGACACAGGACCTTGAACCTTTCTGATTTGCCATGGCACATGACCAACATATAAATGGTAGCAAAATTATTTGTTTGTAGGAGGAAACCTTCTTTTCCTGCCACACTTTCCCACCGCACAACCACACTGTTGCAAAGTCAAGGGATTGGTCAATTTACGAAACCGGTTATGAAGAAAGAGCTAGTGGCACCATTCCTAGGTCGTCTAATGGTTAAGATTCCACCCTCTCACGGTGGCGATCGGGGTTCGATTCCCCGCCTGGGAGGTAATTGCAGTGGTGTATAATACAAGGATTGTAGGTACTGAAGCTGCCAGCGGCAAGGATGCCTGCCAGCAGATGTCAGGCGCTTCCATTCCCAGAGCAGGAAAGTGGCTGACTGTTACATAATCATGTGGTCTAAACCCTTGAGGTGGGGCTGCAGTAGTTCCTTGCTTCAACTGGCTGGTCCTGACCTATTTGGACATGTCCAGAGGCAAGGCGCATAACCCAGGATCTGGCATGAACGGAACAGATGTTTTGAGCTCAATACAATTTGTTTGAGTGAGCTTTCGAGGTGAAAATGGCCACTGTCCAATAGTTACTGGAGTCTTGGACATTTGACCTCCACCTGGGTAATTCTTTTTTTTTTTTTTTTTTTTTTTTTTTTTTTTCTTGGAGCAAACTGCACCAAGTCAACTGGAAGTCCAAGATTTCTACCAACTGAATCCGACTTTCCTTCAGGGAAGGTGCATTCCTGGTTGTATTGATGGCTATTGCATTAAGGAGAAAAACAAAAGAAAAAAAAACTGAAAAAAAGTAGAAAAGAAAAAAGGAAAAAGAAAGACGCCCGATGTGGGGGACGAGCCCACAGCCTTGTAATTGCAGGAATCCGGCAAGTGTGTCGAAACACACATGGCAGGAGACTAAGAGTCACACGCTCTACCGATTGAGCTAACCAGGCTCCACTGGCAGCCCTTACCAAGAGATTATTACTGGTTTTTGCACATATTGAATCTGGCAGTGCATATTTTCACTCATTTTTCTTGAATTTTTCCAAACACCATCAAGTGATACAACAATTGAGAGAAAAAACGCTTGTGCTGTTTAGTTCATCATATGATGGCACCATGCTGAGCATTTGAGAATGGGCACCACTGTGAAATTTGTGCAATAAAATCATGCTGAGTCCCTTTGTAACAAAAAGGAGAGCAAAGGTTCAAACCTTGCAAGTCAACAGGAAAATGGACCCTCTCATATGTGTGGAGAGAGGAAGAACAGAAAACATTGCCAGTCTTGTGGACATCAGTATTTCAATCAAGTGCTTAGAGGCTTGAAATGCACAAAATAGGTACATTGGACCCGACCAGCTGCACTGTTTGCATTGCAGAAAATCCAAAGTGCTACAGTGCCAGATACGACTGTATCATGCCGTCTCCCGGGATTGAACCGGGTGCCTTAAGATTGCCAGAGAGCCCCTGCACAGACTGACCATGTGGCTACTTCAGTCTTACGCTCTCCCAGATGAGCTAAGACAGGCTGAGCATTATCCTCACTCAGCAAGAGTCATAAAGGAGTAATAAACATGCAGCCATCAACAACTATCCCTATGCTTTAAGTTAGCAAGGTCACTCACAAATAAAACCAGGCGTAACCCTGCTATCAAGCTTCATTTCATTCAACTTGAATTTGGCTTTTGGGCTGAGGCAAACTGATTTTCAAGACATTGATTATAAGAGTGGCTTCATTGGGTTCAATATGTTTGACTTGTGTCTTGTTATGATATGTCAAAGTGTTGGTACTGTGATATATGACAGACTGGATTCAGGAATCGTGTTGGTACAGCTGAGTGACAAGTGTTTTTCAGCCACCGCTCAAATTCTTTTACACGCAATAACTTCATCAATTCTCACCATGTCGCCATCAAAATTGTTGGGCAAATAGCCTGATTGCAGCACATCACAATCCATTAATCTTTTGGATTTGCTGCAGGGAGGACATATTTTTTGCGAACATCGAAGCATGTGATATAGAACGGAAAATACTTTATCTGTTATGAATCACCCTCTGGAAACCTCTGGAACCTTCCAGAACATTCCTTCATGGAACCTTCTGGAACCTTCTGGAACCTTCCAGAACATTCCTTCATGGAACCTTGTGGAACCTTCTGGAACCTTCTTTGCTTTCCTGACTTGTCTTGTTGTCATTGGTATCATTGGTATCATTGTATTACTAATTGCTCTTTCTGGAACTTTCTTGGAGTCTTGACAAGGAACACTCTCAAAAGGTATAAAAGGGGGATGGGGGACCTGTCCCATCCCTCAAGTGAATTATTGTTTCCAATACAATCATCACTCCTCTCAGTTCCTTGTCTGCCTTGCCCTGTCCTGCCCTGTTCCTGACATCATAATTCACTTCACCCTCTCCCACTACTCTCTGCCATCATGTCTGACCCAAACAACACCTTCCCTGATGCAACTGCCTTCCAAGCCTTGATGGACCAATTACAAGCCCTTTCAAGACAGACACACCAACTTCAAGAACAAGTCCTTCACCAGCAGCACCAGCTTCAACAACAACTTCACCAACAAGAACATCAAGCTCTTCCCCTGCCTCAAGCCAACCAAGCAAGAGAGCCCAAGGTTCCCAGCCCTGACAAGTTCACTGGGCTGGCCAAAGACCTTAGGAACTTCATGGCCACTGTGGAGAATGTCATCCTTCTCCAACCTTCAAGATTTCCCAGTGAGCAAGTCAAGGTTCTTTTCACAAGCACCCTCCTGTCTGGTCAAGCTCAATCATGGTACAGATCTCTCCCAAGCACACCCACCACCCTGCAAGAGCTCTGGGAGGGGCTGGAAGCTACCTTTGGTGACCCCTACGCATCTTGGACAGCAAGATCCAAGCTCAAGCATATCAAGCAAGGAAAGCAATCTTGTGTGGCCTACACCAACCAATTCAAGCAACTAGCCAGAGACTCTGGATACAATGATGCAGCTCTGATGGAGCTGTACCATGATGGTCTCCATGAGTCTATCCAAGACATGCTCTCCCAGTCTCTGCACATCCCTGAGACCTTGGAAGAGTACATTCTCCTTGCCATCAAGATTGACAACAGACTCTACTCCAAGAGGCTGAAGCAAAGACAAGTAGGAACTACATCAAGACCTACCCCAGTTCCTCAAGCTCTTACAGTTCCTGAACCCATGCAAGTGGATGCAGTTGAGACACTTCCTAAGGGTCCTCTGAGCCAAGAGGAGAAAACAAGGAGGGCCCAGCAGGGACTGTGTTTTTACTGTGGCTCCAAGGAGCATGCTGTCAAGGACTGCCCAAGGAAGAAGCACCCAAACTCCCAGGTCCAGGCTCACTGAGGGGCAATTCCCTGGACCCTCCTCCAAGCTGCCCCTGTTTCATCACCACCACCAGCACCACAAACACCTCAGATTCCAAGCCCCACCAACTCACCATGGATGTCAAGATTCAACTC